AGTGTGTTGATAATAATAGCTGCACTGAAATTTACCTTCTTTGTCAAGTCCCTAATGAAATAATGGATCTAGTTGACAACCATCAATGCACAATGGCATGTTCCAAGAAGAGACAAACCAGACATCATGGGCCTCCTGATGGAAGACTGCCAGCTATGTATGAATATCATTGCCCAAAACATAGAATCTGAGTCAGGTCAAGTCTTCATATCTAATTACCACTTTGTGGGGAATACAAGGGTCAGAGGGTGATGTTTATTATCACTATAGAAATGCAATCAGCAAAATCCAGAACTTGGAAAACTAGACAGAATAAATGCTCAGACATCTTTAATAAATTGCTGGAAAAATAGAAGGGGAGCAACAGGAAGATGTCCAGATTCAGAGAACCAACCAGAAGTGTGGGACTTGATCCAAACAAACCAACTGTAAAACAAACAAGAAAAACAACAAAAACTTTATGTATTTTTAAATATCTGAATACTTAAAATGTATATGCAAGTGTATATTTTTGAAATATTTTTTTAGGGCTATCCATGGAAATAAATGGATTAGATGGATTAGGCATTTTTGTGATTTGTGGTGGAAAGAAGGGGGTGGGATTATGCAATGAAACAAGAGTGGCCATGATTGTTGGTTGTTGTAGCTGGAAGACAGCTACATGGGGGACCGTTGCTCCCTACTTTCCTGTATATTTAAAATTTTGTCATTTTTTTAATGAATAAAAAATCTTCCATCAGCCAATGCTCCACAAATCATGTTATAAAAGTAGTAATTAATAATGCCTATTAATACTTGGAGCTACTCAACTTACAACACAGTTAAGTTTATGATCTCGTTTCTTCCTCCCGGATACTACAGTGGGCCTTGACTTACGAGTTTAATTCGTTCCGTGGCCGAGCTCGTAACTCAAATTACTCGTATGTCAAATCAAAAAGTGAACGAGTGAGACACGTGATGCTGGGCTGATGTTGTGGCGTTCACTGTGTCGTTTGCTGCGCCAACTAGCGGTGGGGTATCTGAAGCTGGCTTGTAACCGGAATTTTAGCTCGAAACTCAAAGCAAAAAATAGGCCGAGAGAGACGGCTCGTATCTCGAAAAACTCGTTAGTCGGGGCACTCCTAAGTCAAGGCCCCACTGTACTTCCAATCAACACATCACGGGTGAGGAACTGGCCCAAGAAGCCTGGAGCAATTGCAGCTAGTACCGGCCTCGGAGACTAGAACTTGAAGTCTTAGAATTCCCAACCCGGCTCCTCCCCAAACGAGGGGAAGCTTTAGAAAGGAACAAGGGAGTGGGATGAAGCAGAGACTTATTTCAGGACCAGACGAGCGTGGAACGGCTGGGGAGAGCCTTACTCGTTCTGGCCACCAGATGGCGAAGGCTGCTCGCCGGCCAGAGGAGACGCCCGACTGCAGCCCCGCGCCGGGACTGCCCGAGTCCCAAGGCCACGGGCAAGTCGCGGGGTCCTCCGTCCCGCCCACAGCGCAGGGGAAGCTGAGTCGAGCCTAAACGACAGAAGTTACTGTCGAGCCTTGCTGCCGCCACAAGAGCTTGTAGAAGGAAGTTTCGGGATTTTTAAGGAGCCGGGAATGGGGGGGCGGGGTGGGGTTAAAGTTGGGGGTGCACGCCCTGCTGCCCCAAATAAGCAGCGATGCCCCGCTTCGCCCGCGGTCTGGGACCAGCAGAAGCTGGGATCTTGGGGGGACCGTCGCTGAGGGCCTGCTGCGTACCTGGCGCAGCCAAATCCTTGCCCTGGCAAACTCGATGCGCGCCCTCCGCGACGCGAAAGGGTAACTAGGGCCGATGGAGAAAGGGGGGAGAGGCATAAATGGATGGCCAGGAGAAGTTTACTTCCCCTTTAAGCCGTAATAAGGAGAAATTCGGTGGTCACCCAGATCAGAGTCCCTATTTTTTTTTTTAAATAAAGTTTAACTTCTGGCTGATACGAACCGCTCAGGTCCTGCGCGGGGTGAAGAGGAACTCCGTGCCGGGTGCGCGCGGGCGGGAACTCCAGAGAACCCCAAATGTATGCGCCAGGCCCAGGTTTCTGCAAGTCGCAGGAGGGAGCCCGACCCCGGACGGAGACAGGCGCAGGTGGATGGATTCCTCGGGTTCGAGTCCCCCAAGCTGGACCTGCGGGGCTTGCGTACTAGAAAGTCTAAAGTGGAAGGATGGGGACGCCACAGAACGGGACTCAGCCGGGCTCACCAACATAGTTTTGCCAGCTGCTTTTTAAAAGAGCCTCCGAGAAAACCAAACTTTTGGAGTCTGCGTGCAGTATAGTGGGGGACATCGGGGGTGTCGGCGGGAAAGGGGAGTGGAAAATGAATTATTTTAATTTTTATCTCCACTGGGGCTCAATTTCGATTAAAATCAAGAGAGGCGCGGGAATGTGTTTATGCAGAGCGTTTCCATGACACCTGCATAATTTGTCAATAACCTGATCACCCCCCCCCCCCCTTTGCTTCGGAAGGAAGGGAGGGACTGCAGGTTTAAAGCTGATCCGCGGAGTCTGCGAAGGAAGGGCGCTAGGACCAAACGCTGACCTGGAACCTGCACACGCTCCACTGCGGAGCGGAGAAGAGGCGTCGCCGCAGCCTCCCCCCGGCTCCCAAATTCGGCCCCGGTTCAGACTGGGGACCCGGGGCCGCTGGGGGGGGCCCCTCCCCCCTTCCCCGATTTCCCGCCGAAGGGTTCCGGCCTGTCCCAAGGGGCGGTTCCCCGCCCATCCCAGGAGGGCTGCCCTACATCCCAGCAATTCTCAGCTTCAGCGCCCTGGGGGCGGGGATCCTGGGACCCTGGCGGGGTGGGGGTGGCTAGCTCATGCCGAGGCGGGTAGGGAGTTGGAGGAAGGTCCGGCTTACAGTTCTCCCCAAAGCAAAAAAGATTTCCAAGGGCGGGGTGTGGATTTTTTTTTAACCCTAACAACCCAAAGTGGCGATGTAAAGGACACGTGTTGGGAAAGGGCAAATAGCATTTCCAACTTAGGGTCGGGTCCTTTGGGCATTTCGTTCCCCTCTTTCCTCGCGGCGCATTTACTGGTTTTCGTGTATTTTTGTCTGGGGCAGCCACGGAGGCCAAGCGAGCCCTGGCGAGTCAGCCGACCCCCCAGCCGAGGTCTCCGAGCTGCGCGGGTGCAGACGCGGGGGCCCGGCCGGGGAATGTAAACAAACCGGGCGCCGCGCCCTTGATCTTTATTTAAATCGAGGCTTGTTTATCGGTGTCATCCTAGGAGGATTAATTAGATACATCTCTTCACAATTTGGTGTCTGACACTCCATCTTAGGAATGCCTTATCACAAGGTGTTAATTGGGGCCACTCAGCCACGAACGTTTCTATTAAACACGGGGAGGGACTTTTCACAAGTACCAGGTGCTTTTCACTGTGCGGTGCAAAAATATACAGGATCCGCCATAGACGGGGGCCAGCGCCGGCCTCATCCCGGCGGTGACGGGCAGCGTCGGGCTTTCGGGAGGGCAGAGCAGGAGGGCGCCGCGTGGAAATTCCTCAGCATCTCCCAGCACCCGCTGGTGCCTTGGGGATCGGAGGGGGGAGGGGCGATGACCAGGTTAGGGTCTGAATGTCATCAAAAATACAAACATGACTCAGTTGTCTTAAGTTCACTGTTAGTTAGCTTCCCCCCCCCCCCAATCTTTGAGATCATTTTTCATTTTAGTGATACTAGAAGGATGCCTGTGTTCCAAGTGGTAGCAGGAGTGTCATGTGAAATGCACTTTGTAGTGAACGCACAATAAATAGCCTTGCTTGTAAACAACAACAAAAAGAATAAATATACATAAACCAAACGTCAAGGCTTTCGCTTCCAGCTCAGGTAAGATTCAGGGCGGCTTTGACCACGCGTTTTGAACCTGCACGGTCGGTCGGTCGGAGACGCGGCGCTGGAGTCTGGGCTCCCAAGGTCACCGGCGGCGGCGCGGGAGGAACTTGGGCCCTGGGAGGATGGAGGGGACGGGAACCTGGGGAGCGGCGAGGTCCGAGCTCCCCGCGGCCTTAATTGGACGCGGAAGGGGAGGAGGGCCCGGCGGATGGCTCGCCTCCCAGCAGCTAATCCTCTTAGCAGCTGCATTTCCGCGCCGCAGTCAGCAGAAGGACCCTCCCGGCCAGACCTTTACCCCGGGAGGGTCGGGAGGGGGCGGGAAAGGTTTGCCAGCGGGGCCTGCAGCTGTCTGCTGATAAACCTGGCGGGACGTCTGGCCGGGGGACAAAGGGCCCTCCGCCCCATCCTCGGTTTAACTCTTTGGCGGATCCAGGGCTCAGCCAGGGGGATGGGGCAGCCTCCGCCCTCCTGGGGGAAGGAGAGCGCCAAATACACGGAGCTAAACGCAGAGGGGCGGGGGGACTGGAATCCTCGTGTGGAGGCGTCGCGCCCCGCGGCCCCAGTGTCACCCGGCGAGTCTGGCCGCCCGCAGAGGGCCCCGGGCCAGGCCGGCAGCCGCCGAGGAGCGCAGCCCCGGGCTCCGCGCACAAGCCGCAGGTGGGAGCAGGAGCTGAGCTGTGGGCGGCCAGCTCCGCGCCGCTCCTCGTTTACCCGGAACTCGTGGGCGCTCAAAGGGCCTCGGGGGTTCCCAGGGAGCCCATGTGGGTCAGGGACGGGTGGCCCCAAGTACGCCTAGGAACGTGCCCAGAGCCCGGACGCCCAGGGCACGAGGTTTTCCAGGGTTGAATTAGCCCTGGTGTAGGCAGTCTTGCATCTGGGCAACCCCCACCCCCCAGCCCCCATACCCATTGTCCAGACTTCCCAGAGGGGTGAGGAAATAACCCCATTCATATTCGAGGATAAAATAATATATAAAAATAAAAAGCATCCCACCCCCACCCCTCATGACTACAGTGTCCACTTAGAGATTCCAGAGCCTTCCATGGCAGGGAGAGGGGTTGGTGAAGCAGTGTTCACTCGGGAGAAGGGTGAAAGGCAAAAGCAAAATTAAGATCTTCAGATGAAAACCCATAGTACAGAAGACAGAGGTATGCCTGCTCCCTTAATGAACCACATTTATTAAAAAATGACTAGGACTGTACATGAAAATCCAAGGTCTCTAAAAAGCCTACAGGAGCTGTGGCGTCGGGTTTTACTTTCTTCACATTACCAAGTTGGGTAGTGGGGGGTGGCGAAGGAAGAGGACGAAATAGGAGTTTCCCTTAGACACGGTTCAAGTTAAGTAGAGAGTAGTTGAATACATTCTTAACTATCTAAAAAGTAAACAGAACATTCCCCAATTCGGCTGGGATGAGGAGAGAAACGACCCCCCCGCCTCTGCAGCTGTTGCCAGGTGATCTGCACATTCTGTACAAAAGCCAAAGCACCGATTTTACATCATCTCAGACACACAGGTAGACTATTTGTACAATATATTCCACATTATTCTACAGTGTATCTAAGCACACAAACTGTACACTTAAAATTTTTCTTTTTCGTTCATTCTTTTTTTCTTTAGTTTGGGGGGGGGGGGTGACTCCCTCCCTTGTCCTCTCCTGAGTCTTATGAGCCACCCGGGCACACAGCAGAGGCCTAGCCAGCGAGGCGATCCTGAACCAGGGCAGACATGGCTTGTGCTGAAAGCCTGGGAGGAATCCAAGTCAGTAAGACCAATACCTTCTTTTACAAAAGTTTTTCTTGCCTCCCAGGCCTAACATCTTTTGACCCTAGCAGAAGGTAACAGCAAAAAGTCCCCTGTTGAAGCTTAAGGACCAGCCCTTCTCTTCTAGAAGCAAAATACCTTACCGATTCTGGGCTTCTATATGCTCACAGATTTAAAAAAACAGAAATAAGAACCAAAGCTTTCAACTCATTGGATAGCGCTCAGCACTCCATCTTCACAGCCCCATTCTCTGAATGTTTAGTGTTTCCAATAAATAAATCCAGAACCTTGAATGACCTTCAAATTTTAAAACCCTTCCAAGTCCTCCATTAACTGTATTTCAGAAAGAAAAAGATAAAATGCTAGGCTTGTTTCCATTACCTGCAGCAATCAAAAAGCTTTGGCACCTTCTTTTAGAGAATTGCACAGAACAGGATGCATCAAGGTGGAAGGCAAACATCTTTTTGGCAACCTAGGCAAAGGAGACAACAAAAAACACCACCAAGTTCATCTGCAAAAACTTAGCTCATTTTGATGAGGTCAAAACCACTCTTTAGGGAGTTGTGTAAAAAGCATAATATCCCCCCATGCCTTTTGAGGTGTCTTTACTGTATTCTTCGGCGTTCATGTCCTCACACTTTATGGAGGGAGAATTTTCATTGCTAGAGGAGCTGGGAGACAGCCGCCTTCGCTTACAAGCGCTGGTGTACACCCCCGAATCGTTGGAATCCAGAGACTTGATGGAAGGGGGAGTCTCTATCCAAGAAGAGCTCATTTCTTCTTTGACTTTCTCCTTGGAGAGCTGATCTTCAGAGAACACAGGGGGGCTGGTTCTGGAGGTCCATGGGAGTCCAGCGGCCATCTTCCTCTGATAGGAACCTCGACCTCCCCACCCTGCCATTGCAGGGAAGGCTGGGTCAGGGTAATACCCCAGGGCATGGGATGTCTGCAGGGGCAAGGATTTAATGCCATAGGGGAGCAAGGTGCTGGACGTATATTCAGACTCATAGGAACCGATGTCTAGTTTGTTGGTCCCGGGTTGCTGGACAGGCGTGACAAGCCACCGCTGGGGAGGGTTGGCCACCTCTTCGTTCTGTTGGGGTGAAAGGAGGCCGTTGGTCTGTGGCACGGTTCTCTCGCCGTTATAATATCGGGCTTGAGGTAAAGTGTTGACAAAGGGCTCCGGGAAGAAGGACTGGACGCCGTACCGACCTCCAGGGACAATCTGATGGGATCTAGGAGAATCCGTGGGAGATGGAGTTAACCTGTCATTTTCTGAAGCGGTGTACATGCTACAATATAAAGAAAAACACTTAAAAAAACAACAACCCTAATGTTGTCCCCAAACAAACCAAATTCCCAGAAATGAAAACGCACTGGTCTGCTGGTGTGGAGGGACAGAGGTAGGAGATGCCCTGGCCCATCTGAACTTGGACTCTTGGCTCCAGGGGGAAATTTCCCCACCATGTAAGAAAAAGTTCCCTTCCAGGTATTAAGTATTTAAACTATAGGAAGTCCACCTTTGCAGATCCTAGGATTTGAGGAATTCAGAGCAACAATTCTCCCTTGTCAGTGTGATTGGGAGGAATGCCACATTTAAAAGGCATTTGCAGAGCCTTGCTGTTGATGTGAAAATTACATCCTCTTAGGGTCAGGTTTTTCTTATGTAAAAGAAAAAAGGGGGGGGTAGTAATACTTGCTCCTGAGAGGGTCAAAAATTTGGGATTACATGGAAAGATATGTAAATGCAGATTATGAAAATGTCAAATCTCCACTCAAATGTTAAAAAGAAAAATGCTCCCCATTTTAAAGTCCTTTACATTTCTTTAGAAATTAACAAAAGCCTTCTGTGAAAATTCTAAAACAAGGTTAGTCCAGGCAGAAAAAAAAAAAAAGGTAAAAATAAAACCAGAAAATCTCAAATATGAAAGCTTTTCCCAGAATATGTTCTTAGGAAAGTGTCTGATTATGAGTGTCCTGTTCCAAGGTGACACGCAAGCATGGACCAAAGCAGCACTTACGAATCGTAGTTGTCCCTGAAGCCTTTTGCAAAGGGGTTGTGATCAATCTTTAGTTGCGTTATCTGGATGGGGGAGAAAAATAGTTGTTGAGTGCTTTAGCACACGGGGCCTAGCTTGCCAGAGTCTTGGGACGTTTGGGACACTCACGTCGGTGTTTTGGTAGGCCGTCACGGCAATGAACTGCGTTTCTGAGAAGGTAAAGGTCTGAGTCTTTGAGGGCTCATTCAAGTCCTCCACGCCATCCTCTGTAACTTCAACAATGTGCAGTCGTGGTTGGTACTTGTGTAAAGACTGTAGGACTATCATCTGGAAGTGGTACAGGAATAGAGTGGCCAAATCGAAACAGTCTCTTCAAGGTTCAACAAAAGTAGACGTTAACAAACTACATATTTTGGAATGGGACTCCCGCTCGCTCCCCAACAACAGCTACCTTTTTTCTATTGCCATTTTTAAGATCTTATCATTGCCACTTTTGTAACAAAACATAGCTGGATGTGCATGTTTCGAAAGCACTTTCCTCTTGATTTCCTAAGTCCCCCAAAGATTTCAGTATTTCTGTTCCTAATAGTCAACTCACTGTTATGGAAATCCAGTGTGAAAGTGAGAATGACAAGGTCAAAAGAAAAAAAAAAGCTTAGAAATAGGCGAGTAAACAGGTAAAACCAGTGAAGAGTCAGGGAACTTGTTAGAAAAGAGATCACCAGCCAGAAGACATCCCCTCCTGTCACCCTACCTGAGTGTTGTTGTTATTGGCGCCTTTGTTATTGGTGAGTTTTAATTTCCCAAAGGAAATCTCCTGTCTCATCCAGTGGGAACCAGTATTAGGAGACTCTGGGTGGACGTACATTTTGTTGCCTAAGAGAAAATGAAACAAAACACAGAACCTAAGCCTAGAGGGCTGTTTACAAATGGAGCGGAGGAGGGAGGGTTGTCCTGTTATCTATGGGCCAGGTTTAAGAGCAGGACTTACAGCACCAATCTCCCCAGCACGAGCTGCTTAGAAAGGCCAATGGAGACCATTAGACTCCACTGGTACATCCCACCACATCCCCTCCGGAGCCCCTGTGCCTCCAGGCCTTCCTTGACAAGGTGCTCATCTTAACAGGACCTCAGCATATAAAAATGGAGGCAACAGGGGAGGCCTCGTGTAGCTCAGGGAAAGCTCGAAGGGCAACATCTGATGGAAATGGTTGCATTTTTTATGGGTGGGATTCCACCCGGGGAAGGCTTTCTCAGGTGGAAATCAGGATGCCAGGAGCCCTTGACACCCGGAGAGTTTATGACAATTCCTTCCTCAAACGTGGAAATCGGGGGCTGCAGTAGGGTGATGGTTAAAGCTCTGTATATTGGAAAGCAAGAAATCTGACTTAGCAATTCTCTCCTTCAGCCAAACACTCAAGACAAGGAACTCATGCTCACATCTCTAGGTTCCAGTGGGGGGGGGGAAACGCTTGTGTCAGGGGTTCCCCACCTGCTCCCCACCCCCCCCCCACCCCCCGCCCCTGCCAGGGCCTCCTCTCTCCTCACCCTGCATGTTATTGTCGGCTTTGCCGCAGGTCACCCACTTGCCCCCCTGGAAGCGCCAGTGGTTGGGGTCGGCCAGCACCACCTCCACGAACACGTTGTAGTGGGCGGCAGGATTGAGTCCGTTTATGTTGAAGCTCAAGAAAGGAAACATGCGCCTGTGCGAGGGAACAGAGCCAGGAGAAGCGGTTTAATCACCCGAGGGCAGGCCCGTGCTGGCCAGTATCGCGGGCACCTGGGGGAGGGTCGGAGCGCGGCGTTTGGAAATCTACAGAATGAACAGAACGCCGGGAAAGTGGCCCTTACTATGCCAAATAGTTTTGAGTTGGCCACTCTTTGAACACCCCTTGTCCAAAATAATTGGCCCCCAAGTCACGCGCTTCTGTGTCCTCTCCCCACTCAAGTTCTCGACTTTTTAAGGTGCTCGTTCATTTTTCTTCCATGATGTGAAAAATGTCTTTTTCCAATTCCACTGGCAAGGCTGCAAGTCCCTTTGAGAGTCCCTCTCCCTCCGCCCCTCACTTTCCGCAGAAGTAATCACTGTTAGCAATTGGATGTGCATCAGAACTTTCTCACCCCCGGACCCCAGCCAGGCCTGGCTCCCAGACCTGCCTAACCAACCACCCGGGCCAAGCCTCCGATGCCAGCGCCCCGGTCCTCACGTCCATCCTCCGGAGGCGCCCCATGGAGACCCTGGCGCCTAAAACTGCGGGAGCTCATCTACTGCGCTCAGGGGGGCAACCCACCCGCCCCCCCCCCCCCCCCAGTTCCTCTCGGGCTAGCAGGGAGCAGCATGTCGCCGAGCAGGCACATCTAGTAAATCCACGCTTTGTGGACAAGCTTCAATTTCCATTTCCGCCTCCCCCTCCTCTTCCTCCATCCAGGTAAGGGTAACGGGAGGGAGGAGGCAGCCGTAACAGTACACCCGGCGCGGACCGCCCGTGAGTATAGGGGAGGGACGAGGAATTGGAGACGCAGCGTCTCCACTTACTGCGCACGGAAAAAACACTTTCCAAGCAAAGCAAAGTGCATCCCCCGCCTTCCTCCGGGCCACACGGTCACTGCCCACCCGGCGCCCCGCGCCCCCTCCGCGCTGTGCTCACCTGCCCTGTTTCGTAATGATCATCTCGGTTTGGTGGCGGTGGAACTTGAGCCACAGAGGCCGGTTGCATAGGTAGACGTGAGCACGTAAACTGGAACCAGAAACCTCCAAGCTCCCCCATCCTCCGCACGAACCCGCGGCTGCTGCCCCGGGGTACGGCCCGTAGAGGGGAGCCCCCTGACTGTACTGATAGGCGCCCGGGCCACCTCCCCCGCCGCCGCTGGTGCCCGCGCCGCCGCCGGCGCCGGCTCCCGGGCCGAACTGCGCCCTCCCGGGTGGGCACACGGTGGCGGGGAAGCCGCCGGAGGGCAGCATGGAGCCATAGGGGTAGCGCGCCCCGTTGGGAGCCGGGTACACAGGTCCGTGGGGCGCCCCGGCTGCCGCCTGGTACGGGAAGAGCGAGCAGGGCGCGGCCAGCTCGGAGCCCTGCGGCCCGGGGGACTGGAGGTAGTAGCGCTCCGAGCTCAGGCTGTCCATGGAGTAGCGCGCGGTGGCGGCGGCCGCGGCGGTGGCGGCTGCAGTGGCGGCGGAGGGGAGCTCCTCTTCCCCGCAGGGGGAGCCCTTGCGGCCGTCCGGGGGCCCTGGCTTGGCCACTGCCGCGGTGCTGGCGAAGGCGTCCCCGGCGTCGGCGTCACTGAGCATGACCGCGGGGGCCCCCGCGCTGGCAGCTGCGGGTTCCCCGCTCCCCGCCTCGCACGAGAGGCTGCCCGAGAACTTCTTCGGCGCTTTGTCTAAGTCCAGCCTCTGGGGCGAGGGGGTCGCGCCGGGGAGGTGGCCGGCGGGCCCGCCCCCGCCGCCCCGCGCGCTCTCCAGCGGGTAGAAGTGCGCGCCGGGCAGGTTCACCGAGCTCACCAAAAGCTGCTCCCCTAACTGCATGCTTTACGGAGCGCAGACGGCAAGGCTGCCTCTCCTCCTGCGGCCTTATTATAAAGGCTGGATGGGGGAGCCAGCGCCCTCTTCCGAGGGGAAGGTAACTTCCCCTTCCTCCGGTGTCGGGGCTGCCCACCTGGCGACACGGGGGCGGCTAAGGCACCCCCGCGCGGACGCAACCCAGCGTCCTTTCCGCAAGGAAAGCGCGCCGAGCTCGCCAGGCAGGAGGTGAGAACTGATGGAGACGCACTCTCGTTTTCTTAGCCGTCCTGCTAGCCTCTCCGGACCCCCAGGCTCCTCCCCCACTCGCACCCAGTAAGAGGAGGACTTGGCTCTCTGTTCCCATCCACCCACCGGCGCTAGCCTCTCTGCCCTTGGCGACTGCCGAGCTACCGGTCAAGTTGACCACTTTGGAAACTTGCAGGCTGTCATTGGCTGCTTTATATATGTGCTGCCAGGGAGGGGTTTCGCGGCCCCACAGCCCCGGGACCCTCCTATTGGCTGATGGAGGTGACACTAATTCAATTAGGCATCTACTAATTGGATCAAGTCGCCTGCGACTTTCTTTTCCTTGGGTCTGATTTTTTTTTTCTTTCTTTTTTTTTTTTCTGAGACTCTGCCCTGCTGCGAGAATCAATTCTGATGTCTGTATTTCGCTGGAGTTTAGGGGAACAGGGTTTGGGGTCTCCGTAGCGGGGTCCACTCTTTGGCACAGACGTCACCCCAGCTCTCGGAGAGAAAAATGCGGGTTTTAGAGGCCGGGAGGGAGCAGGCTCTGCAAGTTGGCTTGCTGGGAGGCCCCTGTCCCTGAGGGTGAGAATCTGGAGAGTTGGAGAGAGGGCCTAGCGAATTCTCCTTCCTTCTCAGGGGCTGTAACTTCAGGTACACTTTCCTCCCGATTGAGGAAGACTCCCAGGCCGTCGGCACACTCGGATCACTTTTGTTTGGCCCCATCCTTTCGCGCAGTGGGAAGGATCTGTGGGAGGAACCTCGCGCTGGGTTTTGGGGGTCAGGGACGGCGGGCGCACACTGCCATCCTGGAGAACCAAAGCGCTCAGCTTCTGAACCAGGAGCCGCGGTGGGGAGGGAGACTGGGAACACCCTCATCCCCACGCCAACACGCGTGCCTTCAGGCGGCCGTCACTTACCCACCACGATTCAAAGTCCAAGCCGCTCAGTTCCCCTGGATCCCAGACCCTGCCCCCACCCCGTCTTCCGCTGGGCCTGACGCGGCGAAACAAAGGTTCGCCAGCGGCCCCGCGGTGACGATACCCCGCGCCTCTCCTCCGCGGCGCAACAGGGAAGGTAGAATAATTAGTGACACAATCAGTTTGAAACTGAATGAAGCCCTTTGGCCCTAGCTGCCTGCTTCTCCCCTGAGTTTCCGCAGACCGTAGAGTCAGGAGCGGTGCCATCCTAGATATTGTGTTATTATTACGGGGGATGGGGCACGTTTCCTTGCGGATATGGAGAAGCCTGAATGTTCGCCGTTAGTAAGCAATCACAGCCGCTGCTTGTAATCGCTCTGGGAGCGCATTTTCCGGCTGAGATGTCGGGACTCTGCTTCCCCAACCGAACACGATCTCACGGGAAACTCTGCGCCCACAACAGATGAGGCGGCCGCGGGTTGGATGAGGTCCCGCACGCCGGGGCAGAACGGCTGGAGCCTAGGTTCACACCACAGCCGCGCCAACGTCGGCGCGCCTGGGTTAGGGAGCCAGACGGTTGGTCCTTAAGGCAACTCGGCTGCTTCTGGGCTTCGACCAGTTTTTCGCGGGGGTGAGAAGCGAGAGCGCGCGCAGGTTTTCCGGGTCACGGCGCAGCCAGGGGGAGAGAGCTTACACGGGTGGGTCGGCGCAAGGACCTCCGAGTCCCCGGGCCGAGCAGCCCGGGCGCAGACCTCAGCAAAGCTGTCCCCGAGCGCGCAGCCCTGCGCTCCGAGCATTTCGTCCCACAAGCCTCGTTCAGGTTGGACGTGGCTCTCTGCGCTGATTTCCCACCGTCCACTCCCCCCCCCCCCCGCCCCCGGGTTTTGGCTGTATTTGGACACAAGGAAAGCTGGATGAATTGTACTTTGAAATCCTTTGTGCTTCTGTAGACTGTGATTTTTCAAAGTGGAGATTCCGCGAGTGGGACGCCAGAGCCAGGAAAGGAAGGGGGCGCGCGGCTGGGGTGGCTTGGCGACGTAGACCGGGGCTAGGGGATCCTGGAAACCACTCGTAGGCTCCCCCACGTTACCCTGGAGCTTCGGGGTGTTCGCTGAGAAAGTAGGGGTGCGTTCCAACGTCCATTATTTGGAGGTAGGGTGGCCTGGGGTGGATAGCCGTGGAGCGCTTTGTCGCAGCGAGAAAGCGGGCCTCGGTGTTCCTTCAAATTGCTTTCGAGGCGGCCAGGGAAGCGCTGCGCGTGGCAAAGCGCCATCGCAGGCAACAGGCACCGCTCCGACCCGCTCTGGCGCACATAACGCGGGCCAGCTGTCCCCCGCGCCACATCAGAAAGCGCTGGTTTTATTCCAGCCCTGGAGCAAGCTCTTGAAAGCGCATGGGTCCCGGCGCTACCTCCTGATTCAACATATACCCACATGCTATGTGTAATGGGGACTCGTGCTGATTATTGGGGCAAGTAGCTGCAGCTTCTCTCTCCTCGCCTTGCCAACACATCTATTGATTCACTCAAACTTCAACCCATTTCACAGATGGAGAAACAACGAGAAAGAATCAACATGCAGGCTCTACAAAACTGTCCAGGAACTCAGGCTTTTCAGAACATGAAAAATATATGCATGATTTAGATCACACTTTATAGGCAGATATTACAAATACCTTTAAAAAAACATAATGAAAAGGACTGTTTCAGCTAAAGATTTTTTTCTGACTGCATCAAGATAAAGAAATCTCATTTAACGGTTCTTCTGTGTTAATTAACTAATTACATTTGAATCATTACAGATAGGATATACAAGTCTCAGTGCCTACGGAGTTGTAGGTGAGCAAATCTATGCTCTCCTCCTTGGAATGGGCTCTCCTTTGGCTGGCTCAGTTTTACTTATAACCAAGGAAAGAGACATGAACATTATGTTCATGTGTTCCAAAACAACAACAACAACAACAACAACAACAACAAAAAACCCAACACTCTTTTCCAGAAGAGAAATAGAAAAGAAATGGAAGGCAGTGGCTTCAGGGAACGTGTCAGGCGTGCAGCACCCTCCTTAGACTGGGTGGGCAAAACACAGGGCCCTCCAGCCCGTTTGCTGTTTGATTTCAATTACACCCCAAGCTTCATGAAATCCAAATGAGACATTTATGGAAAGGTGCCTGGTTTTATGTGGCTCCACTGACAGTGTAGTGGAATACATTGAACAAAAACATCAACACTGCGGAGGAAACGGGGAGACCCCTTGGAGCCCCAGACCCAAATGCTGGCTGGATTAACTCACATCGTGCACCTCTCAGCCTGGGATGGAGCAAGCAGGACCCTCTGGGGGCTACAATGAGGCCAAGGCCATGCCTGTGTGTGAGCCCATTAAGAATCTCTGCTGTTGTCTCAAGCAAGAATCCCAACTTATGCCACTGTCTCACCCTGATAGCACAAAGTGGATTGCACCAACCTGGCCAGGTGAACTCTTTACTCCCCCTCCCCAACCCACCTCCCTTAAAGGTAACTACTGTGAGGGCATTCCTCTTTTAAAAGCAAAACTGAGAAGCATTTGGCTGTTACAGGACTATTACACATCAAATACATATATACATGTATGGAAAAACTACAGTGGTGAGTTATAGATGAGTGCAATGATATATAGTTTATATCCCTCCCAGCCCCCCCCCCCCACAACCAAGGGGGCCTATATAAATGTCCCAGTAAATTCTATTATTTTCACCCCCACTAAAAATGTGTTATCCAAACACTGTCCGTGTTATTCAAACACTTTGTAAACTCTGAGCAGACTTGCTGCCGGTTCTCCTTTTAACCCTAGGAAAACATTCCAACATTAACCGGTCACCAGCGCTTCGCCTGGACTCTGGGAAAACGTCAATGGGTTTTTTGTGGTGAGTTGGTCCTTTTACTATTTATCTATGGCCTTTTCTTTGTTGACGTTACATTTTATTTCACCATCTCGGGTTCACTCTTTGGCCCTTTGTTCTCTGATGGCCAGATCTGCCACCTCCACTGTGCTTTCCGAAGGGGGAGGGAGCTTTCATCACCGTAAGGTTGTTCAAGTTTCACTTTTTTTTCTTGAAAGAAAGAAAGAAAATGTCCCATAAGATAAAACATTTTTGGTAAGGACAAGTAATGTTGATTCTGCTGACAACAGCAAGATACTCCCATCAGCACAGTTTCACTTTTATAAGCATTTATATGTCACCGTGACACTAAAATGGACTGATCACCTGCTTAAATAAAAAAAGTCACCAGGCCCACGAATGTGTGAGGCGAAGGGTTATATTAAATCCACTGTATTTTTTTTCCAAACAAAAAAGACCAATTTAAATGATCTTAGTTATCAATTCTTAGTTTTAGAATGCTGAGTGCAATTGTTGCTCACTGTTAAAATATGAGGAGGTGGGGGAATCCTGGAATGAAAGATAATAAACATACCAAAAGTTGCTTATTTAAAAAAATAAATGAACTTTTCTTAACAAGAATCAAGAATTTTTTATGAAAGTAGTTTTGAAACTGCAAAGGAATTCCTGGATTTAACTGATTATCATCATCATCATCATCATCATCATCATTTTAATGGAAGTACATAGAGCCCATAAATAACAAGAAAAGCCACAAGAAGCAAACAAAGTGAATTACTCTCAAAAGTAAATTATGGGAATGTTTGGCTAAATGTTGCTCATTAAAATATGAAAGAGTTATGCTGGGCTCACCTGTCTTGCTTACTTTGCACCTTGAAAGGCCTGCCGCTTAGCTGCTCGGCTGTTCATTGAAAGTAAGGGGTTAATACATTTTAGAACAGCTGAAATAGCCCACGGACAGTGTTGGGTGTCAGGCTTTCTAACCATGAAGACTGGAGTGAACAGAAAAGGAAACAGATTTTCATAAGTTAATGGAATGGGCATTTTCATTGTGTTTTTTTTAATACTTTTTAAGATTTAAAAAATCTCTTTTAGACCTTTCCTAACCCCACGTTCTTACATTATAGCATGGCTTTTTGTGTGTATGTCAGTGGTGACATTTTCCCAGGGGAAAATAGAAAAGCGAGTGCTGGGGTTGCAGTGCAGCTGCTAATGGGAGTGACCACCATGTAACCAAGAAGAAATATCATCCAGAACGCATACCACTTGCACATCGCTATCAGAACTGGCAGAGCCTTTGAAATTAATGTTTAAACGGAAGGCACCCTTAGGATACAGGTGGGGCGGGAGGTACACACAACAGGTGGACAGAATCCAACCCTGTTGACCAAGGCT